AGAGAATACAAGTTTCCTGCTCCGACTGCAGAGAGCTTCAGGAGCCCGATATGAGCTGAAAGCACCGTTTCTTTGTTAAATATTCTGATGCGTGAGCTGCAACTGACTGTTAGAATGATTTTAATTTCTTTACAGACCAATCTTTGTTAGTCGTTCTGTTTGCAGGCTAAATTAAAGTGGCTGGATGGATCTGAACAGAGCTCCACTGCAGAACAAGTGAGTGTGAATCTGGTCCTCTGGTCTGTTTTCTCAGGTTTAAGAAATCACATAGAAGCTACGATTAAATGCTGAGAGTCTTCTGAGACCTTTGTTGAACTATAGCATGAAGCAGCATCTGAATAGGAAACATTCGACAGCAATTAAAGAAAAGTGGAGCCCAGCCGGCCAGCAGCACATCGCCCTGATGCTGCTGTGATGAATCAGTGCTCCTCCACACAGCACCGGCCTGCTGCGGGTCAGATTACAGGCTGGAAAATGACCAGCAGCTCGGTACCGATAAATAACGGCGGCTGCAGCTCACTGAGTCACACAATCACCTCTACTGTAAGAGATCTGCTCCATTTCCAATCATCAGCCACCAGCTTTTCACCAGTGGCCTGCTTTGAATTTTTTTACCAAACCAGAATTAAGTTCTGCTCCTGAATGCAGCACAGTAATATGGGACCAGAACCAGAGCGGGCCTGGGAGTTAAAAGCCTGCTCAGCAGCTCCTCAGCAAGGCGGTCAGGAGGGCAGCTCGTGTTTACACGAAGGTCCAAGTCTGTCTGAATGCTGTGCAGCATCAGGCTGCACATTTCCTCTGTTCCACTCTGACAGACTGTAGCCTGCAGTAGGAAGCTCTCCCTGGATCCTCCTCTGCAGAGGTTCAGCTTTTAGACTGAGAAAAAGTCACAATGTGCCCAAAACTTGGGACTGCTCCTTTAAATTTCAAACTGTTTAAGGCCCCGAAGACAAACTTGCAGAAGTCTGTGCATTAGTTTGAACATTTCAGCCCGCCTCCTCAGCAGAACCTCATTTAAGTGACAGTCAGCAGTGGCCTGAGGCTGACCCCTGCCGAGCTGGACGGCTTGTCTGTGCGTCTGTCTGGGTGTGGGAGCGGAGATATCGCCGCCCTGCCCCTGGGTTACAGTGCCCTGAACTCGGCCTGTTATGACTAAGTGGCCCGGGGGGCTCCGGAGGTCTGGGAATGTCCGAGGGAGCGGAGGGTCCAGCAACCTTGCGGGGTCAAGGGAGGCCAGGAGTAGAGGGGGTAGGTGTGGTGTGTGTGCGAGGGAGGGGGGGCAGCTACAGGTCAGCCTCTGACTTCAGAGCCAGTGGACCTCATCGGTCAGAAAAACGTGTCCCCTGTTTGAACCCTCAGTGTCCGCAGCGTGGCCATTCGGCTGTCCCTGCATGGCCATCGATTTTCCTCCTCCACCGCTCCTTCCCTCTCTCCCTCTCTCTCTTCTTACCTTCCCTTTAACACTCCCGCTTATATTTCTGCAATTAGTTTCTCTCACTTCTCGCATCTCGCCGCGGCCTCGTCCCCATGAGAGGCCGGAGCTCCATCCACCACACGGCTGCCCTCTTATTTTTAATCCCAGGCAGATTGATTTCTGAAGAGGTCAAACAGGAGTGAGTGCGCTTCCTAAGGCCGCCCTTACTGGTCGGCTGAGCAGATCCCGGAGGCCTGAGCGCGCGAGGCGAGCGGCGATCGTTCGCAGTTCATTTGGAAAGCCTCGCAGATCGTTTGTTTTCGAGGTAAATTGTTTTGGAGCGCAACCGAGAGAGTATCCATTAACCAGCGCTCCCCCCAGTTCTTTTAATTTTTCTTTTTCGCCCTCCCTCCTCCCCCTGCATGCCTCTCTCCAATTGAACGCCGTATTATTCATATTCCCACCGCTGTCTCTGAAGCCTGTTTGCACCTGGCGAACAAAACACACACGCGCAGTATCTCATTAAAAGCTATAGGCCTAAACCACAGCAACACTTTATAACCACAGAAACACAGCCAAGACAAAATGCATAATAAGCTCCGGGTGAACCAGGAATTATTCACGTGGGCCTTTCTGTCATACATTAGCTGTAACGTTTCACTTTTTTTTCCAGGTAGTGAGCCTGCATAGGCGCCCATTCTGACTTAGTAGTCCAACTGCATTATATAAGATATGGAAAAATACCTTCAGATGAATTTTAAAAACTCGCAAAACTGCGTGTGGAGTGTCTCGTACCCCTACAAATCCCGTGCGTAAAAGACGCACATTTTACGCACCATAACAGATGCTCGAGAAGCCGCAGGCCTCATGAGTGACAAACAAACGCAGAAGTGACACCAACGCAGCAAAAGGGGGGCACGGAAACAGTTGCACAAATTCAGGAGAAAACAGCCAAACACACACACACACACACACACATAGCTTCCAACACAAATACTCCACTCCAAAAGCCCCTGCTTTAAAATCAAAGCCCCCACGGCCATAAATGCCCCTTTCGCCTGACCTCGCCAAATGCGCAGGGGGCAATAAAACCATAAAAACGCCACCGAGCCGTCAGACACAGAGAAGCAAGTGAGCTAAAGATACAAAAGCAGAAACGGAATTAAATTCCCAGGCCTCTTACCTCAGACGCCATCACTTCCAGGGACCTCCGGGCCATCTCCTCCTGCGCTCTGAGGGCTCTCTGACTGGCTTGTTGGACTTTCTTTGGGGGGATTTTCTTCTTTCCAATGACGGAGAAAAACTTTTTTTTTCTTATGGTAGGATACTTGTGGGGTGTAAAAAATAGCTTGCTGATGGGTGGGAAGGGGAGGTATGTATTAGTGTTTATGTGTGTGTGTGTAAGTGTGTGTGTGTGTGTGTGTGTGTGTGTGTGTG